TTCAAACCATTAGATTCAATTATAATAAAAATGAGTATTAGTAGTTGTTTCCCCTAATTTGATTATTAATTTGATAATACCAACTTGTTTATATGTGTTTGTATGTGTTCTATGTCTATGCTTGTACCACTGTCTGTTACTATGTTTGGAAAGGGCTTAAATAGGCTATGCCTGCTGCCCAATCCATTTGTCCTTTGACAATAAATTTATTGAAATTGATGTACTAATGATGTGACTCATTTCAAGTTTACATTTGAATGGGACTTCTATAATATGAATAAATTTAATTGAAATTCTAAAAGCAATAGGCAATATACTTTTCAAAGGAACTTGCCTTCAAATTAATTAAACCAACTGAAGGATACTGAAATACTGTAATTCTTTTATTTGAAATATTATTTTCAAAGTTCCAAATATCCCTTTTAAAAATAAAATAAATATAGAAAGTGTAAATTAGAAGATTTGAAGACTTAAAAAAATATTATTCATGATTTCATGTTTTTCCATATAGATTCCAAGTCTCGGATCCGATATATGGGGATTCTCAAAGCGACATTCTTCCCCACATTGAATAAAATGGAGTTCCATTTATCATTGTGGGAAGAAAAGTCCTTGCATGCCATCAAGGAAAGGACCAGGAAAAAAAGGAAGAAAAGAAAAGAGACAGAAAGAAATCTAAAACAAAGGAAATGTAGGTTTTATGTGGGTGTTTTTTGCTGATATGTACTAAAGGGTCAATAGTGTTATAAATCATCTACCGATGGTTATCATGAAATCATTTATGACAGTTTATTCATGAATGGCAGTCTTTATAGATATATATGTAATATTACTTTAATTTGTACAACCATCATAATTTTTAAATCCATAAAGAAATTATGATCAAACAAATGACACCAGAAATGATAGTTAATTGACAAGGTATGTTATATACAGATTCAAAGTTAGATAATTAAAAGTGGTTCAGGTGGTCAGGTAGTATAGTGATAGTGTACTCTTCGATTCTCTCCTTTCAAAAACAAGATCTGGGTGTGAGAAGGTAATTTGATCAGTCACTAGATGACCCACTAATGTACCAGGATATATGACATTGAAAAGGATTAATAATACAATGTACAATTTATTATCTTGTTTGAATAGTAAATCTCTATGTAAAGTAAAAATAAAGTTTATTTTCTCTATGTATAAAGTAAAAATTAAGTTTATTTTCTCTATGTATAAAGTAAAAATAAAGTTTATGTTATATATGATATATTTTTTTCTTAAGTAACTATAGACTATGACACTTGTGCAAATTTTGCTAAAATAATTTCTTTACAATATTTTTACAGAAAGACCAAAACTTTGTCAAAAAGAGATCATTGATTCAGCCAACCAAAAAGAAAAATTGCCCAGCAAAAATCAGGATCAGGCATGTTATCAGATTTCCAGACTTTAAGGTAATGTTCAGACTATATACTGCATGTTTTGTTTTGTTGAAAACCCATTCAAGTTCAAACTTTTTTCCTTTTAATTAAAATTCAACTTATTTCTGAAATAATTCAGTAAGTATCTATTCTCTCAAATGTTGTACAGGTTTGTGAATTATACTTCATTTGTTCTACTCGTGCCTTACATATATGATCTATATTAAGATTATTTGTCTTCAAAAAAAATTGAAGCATAAACATCATTTCCTTACACAACAAACATTTGCTTCATGTTTGATCTTATGTTGGGATAGGATTCCGGATCAATGGGATAGGGTATTAGATGAATGTATTATACTATTATCAGACTACTTTTATAATTCTGGATCACTGGGGTAGGATTCCGGATCTATATGATACTATTATCAGACTATTTCATAATTCCGGATCACTGGGGTAGGATTCTGGATCAATGGGGTAGGGTATTAGATGAATGTATTGTACTATTATCAGACTATTTCATAATTACAGATCACTGGGGTAGGATTCTGGATCAATGGGGTAGGGTATTAGATGAATGTTTTATACTATTATCAGACTTTTTTATAATTCCGGATCAATGGGATAGGGCATTAGATGAATGTATTATACTATTATCAGACTTTTTTATAATTCCGGATCAATGGGATAGGATTCCGGATCAACGGGATATGGTACTAGGTGACTAGATTATACTATTATCAGACTATTTCATAATTCCAGATCACTGGGGTAGGATTCCGGATCAATGGGATAGGGTATTAGATGAATGTATTATACTATTATCAGACTATTTTATAATTCCGGATCACTGGGGTAGGATTCCGGATCAATGGGATAGGGTATTAGATGAATGTATTATACTATTATCAAACTATTTTATAATTCCGGATCAATGGGATAGGATTCCGGATCAACGGGATATGGTACTAAGTGACTAGATTATACTATTATCAGACTATTTCATAATTCCAGATCACTGGGGTAGGATTCCGGATCAATGGGATAGGGTATTAGATGAATGTATTATACTATTATCAAACTATTTTATAATTCCGGATAAATGGGATAGGATTCCGGATCAACGGGTTATGGTACTAAGTGACTAGATTATACTATTATCAGACTATTTCATAATTCCGGATCACTGGGGTAGGATTCCGGATCAATGAGATAGGGTATCAGATGAATGTATTATACCATTATTAGACTATTTTCATAATTCTGGTTCACTGGGATAGGATTCCGGATCCATGGGATAGGGTATTAGATGAATGTAATTTATGTTTGTGTTGAATGTGTTTGATAATTATTTTTTTGCATTTTAATGATGCATGCACATTTAGTTAAATAGTATATACAAATGTACAGTGTATTATGTGAGACATTTTTTTTATTGCAAACGAGACATGGCAAGATCATAAAACTATTCGATATATAGATGGCATGCTGCATACATTTTCTTTGTATTTTCTGATTACAAATAGGTCTGATGTTGAAGATTAGATTTATAACTTAAAAAGAAAAGTCAGTAAGAATTAATGTAAATGAAAGATAATCTGGACTGCAGACAAAATGGATGATTTTTACTGTGACAGTCAGTTTGAAATGTGGACTAGCTGGGTTGAACTATTACATGTCTAGAAAAAAACTCCAATTCAGGATTTACAAGCACTGTATATGATACTGGTAAATATTAATGGCATCCCAGTTATATTAACCTGTTTGATTTCTTGAATAGATCGATCTACCTTGTGTATTGATCCAGATGTCATTTTTTTATATGGTAAGTACTTTTTTAAGTTGTTATTCATCCGGCAATAAGCCCATGCCTGGTAATAAGCCCTCCCATGTCTGTTACAATTCAGTAGAAATGCCAACACATGGTATTTCATTGTCCTGCAAATGCCCCCCCCCCCCCCTACTTTGAGTCAAAGTTTATATGTTGACACCCTGGGCTTATTGCAGGATAAATACGGTAATTAGTTGGTTCATTGATATACATGTATGCAATTGTTAACTGCATTTAGCTGCATTCATATTTTACATGAAAATTGGGTAACTGAAACACATTATTTGCATATTTATCATTTCCCTGCACTGAAGTTGAAGGGATATATATTATTATGGGAGGGAGCTTTAAGTTTATTCATTTAAATTACCTGGAACTGTAAATAGGGCCCAGGGACTATCAATGGGGTCATGCCCTGGGTCATTGTTCAATAAAAGAAAATTCGAAATCATGCAAAAGCAAAAATAATTAATATTACCAATTCTAGCAGGAATGGACTGGACTAGAAATTAAAAATCAATCAAAATCATTTGGGGATTATAAAGATAATATCATGGATATTAAGATTTAAAAACATTCTTTAAGATAACAGGAATGTGATTTGGATATACATGAATTAAGAAAACATGTTTTTATACCAGTATACTTCCTGGTATATATAAATGATTATAACTATTTCACAACTCAAAGTTGAAGGATTTTCACATTTTAAAATGCTTGTAATTTCTTGCACTGTTCAGTGGTGAAATAAAAGTCTACATTTGTATTGAATCATGTACAATTGTATTCGAGTTCACTTTTTTTCACTGAAGTATATATGTATTGATTTGATTAAATTTCATTTTCTAGGTTGGTGAGATATCAAAATGCATGTACAACAAATTTTATGAAAGAGATGCAGTTTCTGGAAAATTGAAGCAGATTCTAGCATCTGAGTCACAGCCAAACTTCAACATGTTACACCAGTACTTTGTTTCCTTCTCCGTGCAAAATGAGCATGAAAATCATCTTTGTGGAGAAGTAAGTTTTGACAGGTGGTATCAACAGGTTATTTAAGATTTATTTGGTGAATTCACTGAATATTAAGACTTGTTTCTACACAAGCTGTTCCTTGACCACTAATTAGAACTAAGATATACTGTGATGACCTGCTTCCCTGATGAATGTTGTGGACACTTTAACTTAGTAATAATCAACATCTGACATGTTGAGATGAAAAAGGTAAAACTAAAAGACCCAAGAAACCAATGTTTCAGTACAATCATTCAGTAAAATCATCCATTGCCTCAAAAAACTGTTGTCCTGGCTCTAACATTTATACCGTTAAAGATAATTAGATATCTTGATGAAAGCTAAAGTATACCTGCATCACCTATCAGAAAGTGATCTACATTGCAATGTATCTATGTTACTGTAACCTTGACCTCAATATTTTATTGTTCTGAAATGCCTTAAAATATATCACTACCGATCTTTTGTTCAATCATTGCTGCAAGTGAGAAATCAGCACTTACTTATTCCGCTTATCTTTGTAACAGTCTGCCAGTATGGTACCCCTAGATGACCGGTTGAAAAATCACTTGAGGACCATGGTGTGGGAACATAATATATAAAGTGGTCCTCAAATGCGGATTCTTTTGGAGGTTCACCTGAAGGAGTCTTTTTTTAAGAGCGAGGAGATTCCCCCAAAGACCAACAAGAGGTTCTGGCCATCAAAAAGGAATTTACAAAACCACATTGCCCTTGCTATAAAAAAACCCAGAGAAATAGCAATTGCGACCAAGTAAGATTTTTAGTGACCACCTTCCCCACATGACAAGAGAGCAGTGTTTTAGATTTTGGTCCCACAATCAGTAGCCTGAATAGTTTTCAAAAAACATAACAACACTTCTTTATTGTCATTCAATGATAAAACTGTCTTTCTGGTTTTTTATTGAATGATAAAGTTCAGTAGGAGTATAAGAGTATTTGGAATGGAACGTCAAGCCAATACAAGTATTCGATCAAGCGCAAGTCTCCATTATTTTCTGGTCCCTTATGTGTCTTGGTCTCTGTACACAAGTTTGACTCTGCATCAGCTACTATTATTTTTCTGAACTTAAATATTTCACAATAGTTTCTTTTTGATTCCAATATTTAATTATTTTTCTTGACAGGAAATAGTAGCAGAATTAGTTCAAAAATGGAGAGGTGAAACCACAGACAGGTTCTTCTTGAGAATTAAGGACAGAAGTGGTGATCCTGAAGACTGTGATGTTGGTGGGTATCCGTGTTATTCATTTAAAAAAAAACATGATTTGAATTAAAAATCAATCGATCACTGTGAGAAGATTTTAAAGTAAGATACTTTTTGACCAACCTTGACTTTGAATGCAAACTTAGACGAATGCCAGCTGGAAATAACAAACTCAACACCAGCACTTCATGGAATTTGTAATTTCCAGTTGGCATTCGTATTCGCTATGAATGCCATGTCAAAGCAGTTAAATACTTACATTTACCATTTTTGCAGTATTGCAATATTTTGATCTCATAGAATTTGAAATAAAATCTCTCCATTAAAGTCATTATATATAGTTCTAATTAACGTATGTATCATGTATGCTTGTTCAATGAATAGAACAACCATCCTCCAGGGAGAGTCAGTGGTATCCAATGTTACCATTATGGTGTAATAATAATGATGACCTCAACAATCGGGTGATGGCATTCATAGCTGAATTTGGTAGCATTGTTGTCATACGATGGAAAAAATATATATAAAAAATGAATCTTTCATTTTCTTTTGTTTTAGATATTGGTGGTCTTGAAAACCTTGATGATGATGAAGAAGTTGATGACGACGTGTTGCTGAAACGTGATGTTGTGAAGCAGCTGTATGGGAAGGAGAAAAGGTTCCTGTATGTCCACCAGACAGAGTGGCAATCCAGACTTCTCCTTATATATGGCCAGGAAATATCCCTTCTTGATGCCACATATCGGACCACACGCTATTCTCTTCCTCTGTATTTTCTCTGTGTTACAACAAATATTGGTTACATTAATGTAGCCACATACATTACTGAGACAGAGGATGGAGATTTAATTAAGGAGGCTCTCAACATTCTGAAAGAGTAGAATCAAAACTGGTCACCACAATTTTTCATGAGATCAATGCCTTGGAAAGTGTGTTCCCTGGTTATTATCACCTAAATTAAAAAAAACAATTGTTAAAACTTTTGAAAATGCTTGTTAAGTTGTCAATTTAGACTAGTGGCTGCATGGTCATATAGATATGATTGCTGTTATTAATTACAAATATGTTAGATAATTATGATTAATCTGTTAAAATTTTGTATACAGAGTGAAATATATATAAAAAGTAGTTTAAAATTAGTTTTTCATTTAGTTTTGTTCTTTCAAAGATTAGGAAAATTTTGCATATTATATAAATTGTGCCCATGGTAAATGACAATTGTAAATGTTATTAAGTAATGCAATTTAACATCAATAGAAAACATTTGTTTCTGATTTGTTTCCCTATTCTTTATCCACAGATTCTTTTGTATACCTCTGTGATTTCCATCGTGAGCAGAGCTGGAATAGGTGGCTGAGTGCTTCTCCCACTCAGAAAGCTGATGTTCTGAAGCTACTCAGAGGGATTGCTAAAGCCATGTCTGAAGAGGAATTCCTTGCATCCGTAACAATTTTGAAGGTACTATTAATTCAGTTGGTATATATAGAGGGTGTTCCCTAATTGCTATGAGTTATCCTACATATTAATAACAAAACGACTGAAGTGTTTTAATTCATAGTTAGGAGATTGTGGTCAATTTAATACAAAAGTGTTAATTTTGTGTGTTGCATTTTTGATATTCAACAATTTGATGCATTGTGATAATTGCCACTTTTTTAGATATCCAGTATTAACTAGCATTAACTATAACTGGGAATTTCATGACCCATATGCATGCTATTTTTGACCAAAAAGTATGAATGTCCTGTAAGAAACCAGTTATCATTTGTTTTAAGCTAATACCAGGATTTGTCAACTATTTGAAGGTGATATTTCCCTTAGCCAGCTCGGCTTTCAGAGAATATCGCCTTTCTCTGTTTGACAATTCCTTGTATTAACCTAAATTAGATAAATAATTGCAAAATGTTCAATTCTCCATGTTATCTTTTTAGTTTTTCATACAACAATTTGCTTTCAAACATATTTTACTTACAATATGACATTATTATTATATCAGCAAAGTTCTGTGTGGGCCAAAAGCCAAAGAATACAAAACTGGCTATGGAAGAAGGGGCTCAAGAGCTCTAAGGTAAGATAGTGGTAACAAATGGTTGTCAAAGTGATAAAATCATACTAGTTGTACTTTACAAATAAGAATTTAGATTCTACTGTTTTTGTAAGAGCTATTGCCCTTTGTTTATTTCAACATTTAAATCTTGTCGAAAGGCATAATTGCATTCATCTGCGGTGCTCTTGTATTCATATAAACATATGCTATACAGTTACATTAAGTGTCTTTTAATCTTTTTGATTTCATGAATATATGCAGTGGAAGAGGGTGAAACTATTGCTTTAATTTGATCACTTTTTACTTGGTCTTGTAGCGATGGGTGCGAGCTTTTCGACTGGAACGTTTCAATGTATCCATTAACACCAATAATGGCATTGAACGACAGAACTTGGCCTTAAAGTACGTACTTGGACATGAAGAAGGCTCGGTCCCTGAGTCAACTCCTAACCATCTTGATAAACAAGTACTTGCCAGACGCCTACACCAGGTATGATACTTAGAACAAATATTTCATGGATTATAAATTCACAATGTAGACGATTAGGGTACATTGCTGCATTCATAATTACTCAATGGCATAAATATGGTTGTTTGTTTGATAGCAAGAAACACAGATACATTACAGTGTCTGTCCTTTCATCCTTATATCTATATTGTCCAAGTTCCAAAAGTACTTAAGCAAATAATTTTGTGAAACTTGCTCGACAATTTTACCATCATGAAAGAAAGATTGTTTTGGTCATGTAAATATTAACTAATTCTGTAACTTTTATTTTCCTTTGGAATATTTTTATGACTTAACGGGCAGAAGATATTTTACCTATAATACATGTTTATTTTAAACTACCATTACAAGAGGAGTACATGGTGCCATCAGTCATGTAATACAATGAATTGTATGATTTACTGCAGGTACAAAAGGAAAAACAGAGTCCTCCCTTTTGTACAAAAAGTATGATGAGTCCATTCCCGACTTTCTTCACAACAGACCAAAGTTTGTTGTACAACATTGTTTGAAGAGATGGATGGATGGGCAGAACATACCCGACAACTATGTAGATAAACTCAGCGACAATACATTCCTGGTGAAGAGTTCTGCAGAAAGAGGACGATTTTTTTAAGTCTGCCTTCAAACTTCAGACAACAACCTCCCGTCATGTCAGTGTATGGACTGGAACAACTGGCATTTGCCATGTAAGCATTTTATGGCAATGTTTTTCTATCACCCAAGCACTGGATGGAATGTTTTGCCAGATGCCTACAAAACTAGTCCATTCCTAACCTTGGATGTGGAGACATTTCCTTCACAAGGACTCACAACAGCTGAAGCTGACATCAACAATGACCAGGACGTCATCATGATTGACAGTTCTTGTGAAGAATTACCTCTTCCAAAAGCAGCGGCGTTGAAAAGGGCCAGGACACATATTTCTGGAATTCTTGAAATAATCAAGGGATTGGCATACCAAGTCAAAGACGTTGATGTCCTCAACAACACAGCCACCCAATTGATGGATGTGATGTCTTCTTTTAAGGCTGCGGCACCTCAGGAGGATGGAATTGTTGTTGATAAAGAGTCCAACATGTGTCATATTGCAACAACAAGACTGAAAAAGACACCAAGGCCACTCAAATTAAGGAAAAGAAGATTAGTGGCCTCCAAACGACATGGAAAGAGGAGGCAGTACCATACACGGAAAGGTGTTGAAGATCTGCTTGGTTAGTAACATGCAAAGAAAGAAATAATTAAGCACTCAACTTTTAGCGCATTGTTAGAATTAAACAAAATGAGTGTGTTTGAAATCCAGTTCGGAGTTACTGAGCACTCTAAATGTAAATAATGCTGATAAGCATTTTGGGAATAGTTACATAGTTAGAGTGGTACAGCTAAAATAATCTGTTCCTGATCTTTTTCATTTCACTTCATATTTTAAATACTCCTTTTTTTAAAATAATTTTTACACAAATAAATGTAAATTTATTTAATAGCACTTTACTTAATTGTATTTATGCAATGCATAAAGTAATTTATATTATCTGGTTAGTATATGATACTTTTATTTGTTATATTTTGTGGGTTCCGGATGGAGGATAACTTTCCGTTTTTGAAACTAGTCCATCCCTATAGAACTAGTCACGTGATGTTTTGGTGTACTAACGTCACGTGACCTGTGCAGAATATTTTTCCATAATGACATTTTGAAAAATCTCCTTAAAAATCAGCTATTTCCCTACTTGGAAGAGTGCTGAGCATCTGCTACAGAAGGGGTTCACGCATAAGAGGCGAGGTTAGCTAATGACAGGGGTATCCTCCCTCGGCTTTCGCCGTAAGTACTGTCAATTTAAACATTTCCTGTGGAAACATCGGTGACGCTTAGCCCGCCAATTTGTATTGTTTGTAAGCAAACGCACGTGGGGAAGACCTGTCAAAGATGACGATTACTGCTATGCTGCTTGGTCATTCTTTCGTTAGACGGATTAAATCCTTTATGAACAGTTCGATAGATATTAGGGTGAACGGAAATTTCAATTTCTGTCGAACGGAGGTACGAGTGATATGTGAAGGTGAAGGATTCAGACCAGGGCAATAACGTTACCGTTAGTGCAAGACAATGACCCAGTTATAGTAATCTTACAGACAGCGTCAAACGATCTGTGTGGCCAGGAAAAATCGGTCGAGATCATATTTCGGCAGCTAGTGGAACTAGTTGTGACACTTCGTTACAAATATTTAGTGCATCGTGTGATCAGGATTTTGGTCAGCAGAAAGCAAACAGCGTGTATGGGGTACACGTCAACGTGGAATGAAACCGTAAATACTATAATAACTTGAAAGTTACATTAATATCTGCATTGAGTCAGCTCCTTGCTTAAGGTGGGTCTTTCAATCAATTGCACCATAATCATTACTTTGATACTGCTTGTATGCACATTCGGATTATGGAATCGATGGTAATGGGTATTGTATTTCTACCAGCTAAAGGGCAACTCACCAGGATAGTTGTCGAATGTCCAGGTGAGGTCCGCCAGCCTGGAAGTCCTAGCGGAAACGAAAGAGTTGTTCGGTCAAGTTCTGTACGGGCTTATCAGCACACGTCTGTCAGGTTCGGCAGTCAAAATATCAAGAGCGGGTCTCGCACTGTCATGTGACCTCTGCTCAGAAGTCTATGTCAACCAGAGGCTTGATAGCCAGCACTTATTAGGCACTTTCACAACACTCTTCCCCGTCATATTCGAGCGGTGGTCCAGCCGTCCTCGGCCAGCAAGGCTCTGGGATTAACAAGGGTGATCCAGGGTTAACTGGGATCGGCCCCCTAGATCAAGGTAATCGAGGGTACCTGTCCTCAGGCCCCCTAGATTCTGGACTCCTAGCTCCCGTGTCTCGGGACTTAGAAAAGATTGTTTCTGTTCCGATCGGTCAACTCCAGTACCCCAGCCAGACTGATGTCCCCCCGGATCTGGGAGATACGACGGGCGGTATGGTCCACCAAGTGTGGGGCGCTGCAGGGGAACTCGGGGCTGACCGAAAAGTAGGGCGCATCTGTCTCTATTAGGAGTCTGGTCGAT